TATATATATATATATATATATGTATATATATATGTATATATATATATATATATATATATATATATATATATTGAAATGGTAATATTGCAAAATCCATAATTCGCATACCACTAATTTAATAATTTTGTTTTAATGTACCTTAAAATTGATAAATACATTCATAGAGACACATAAAAAAAGAGCTTTTAACTAATTTACAAACATAACATTGAAATGGTTGCCAGTTAATTTGGAGGTCCAGGCATAAGACTGTAAGTGTAACTGTACACCTATTAATTGGAGAGTAATTTCATTTCGTTCTAATTTCAGTTTAAAGCTAATAAGTAATAAATTTAAATATAAGTTTAACACAGAATTTTTGTCGCATTAGAGCCAATTATATTCAATGCAATGTGTTTTTTTCAACATTATTTGAAATTGATTTTCTTTTCTATTGTCCTCCATTATTCTCCTGATGGTTTGAACTACTCAACCGAAAAGCCAAGGCATTATCAACAGAAACAACAGTTCTATTCACAGATACCACGTGGTGTAACACAAGCATTTATCAATTATTAGTTTACCGTGAATCCCAACAATAACCTATATTTCCTTTTTTTTTCAGAGACCAAAGTGTTCACTTGACCCAATATCAAACGCTAAATATCTTAAAGATATATACTTAAAAGTCAATCCAAGTAAGTCTGCCTAATCAGGGAATATCCTCATCTTCATGTTGTCATAAAATTAATTTTATCCATATTCATCTTTCACAATCTTATTGTAGCAAATCATGGTACAATCGGTTTCAAGGTTTTGCCATGTATAGTACAGTAGTACTAATCACAGGGCAAACATGTTCTGCATCCACCAACTGCAAATTTAAGACACTACATAACATTGCGGGTGACAGCCTGTAGGATACTGTGTTCAGCAGTAACACAGTATCTAACCACAATGCAGGTAGACTGCATCACAGTGTCCATGCTCGTCTGTAAACTACAGCTTGCAAAGTGAAGGAAGAATCTTCACTGTAGTTTGCCCAGATTTGTTACCGTTTTTGGAACGCGATTCTATGGAGAAAATATATCTTAAAGCCGCCACTGCATAGCAATACAAATTTTGGTTCTTTTTAATTTCCTTATAGATTATACGGGTAGAATCACTGTACCGGTACTGTGGGACAAGAAAACCGGCACTATTGTGAGTAATGAGTCGGCGGAGATACTGCGCATGTTCAACAGTGCATTTAATGAATTCTGCGCAACTGATGAACAACGAAACATTGACCTGTACCCTGAGGAGTTGAGAGAGAAGATTGATGGCGTGAACGAATGGGTGACTCCGTAAGTATCAAATTTGTATAAAGTTAGAAATTAGTATTGAGGATATATAATTATTAGTACAGTACATTGAAAATGAAAAATACAGCCTGTATACAATTTTGGTTTTTGCTACATTTTAGCTAATTACAGTATTTCAGGATATAGCCAAGTCATAAATAGTGAAGTAATAACATTGATAAAATCTTGTGAATACCACAAATAATAGTAAATATTAATAATGGTAATAAATAAAAATAATATTATAAATAATGGAATGAATAATAATGTTGATAATGCGAATTATTGTTCCTTCATCTGATATTTACAGGAATATTAGTAATGGAGTTTATAGAGCTGGATTTGCCACCACTCAAGAGGCCTATAATGAAGGTGTAAAGGGTTTGTTTGAAAACCTGGACAAAGTAAGATATTACATAACCCAGCTAACAATTAAAATGAGGAAGAACTTTGAAACAATGTACAAATAGTTCCCATTAAAAATAACCATTAATTTTAGCATAGAATTTTAAGCAATTATTTTCATCTCCCAATTTGTATTTGTAGGTTGAAGAAATCCTATCCAAAAATCGTTTCCTGACCGGTGATAGGTTCACAGAAGCAGACGTTCGTCTGTTCACGACTCTTGTGCGGTTTGACACCGTCTATGTTGGTCATTTCAAGGTCAATTGTGTTTTTTATCTTTTATCAAAATTGTGACTTTACTATTTTATGTTGAGTAAATTCTAATTAGGCATACTACGCAGCACTAAATTGTATATACAGTACATTTTGGTGGTATGTTAGGCCTAGTATTTTCAGTGGCATATCTACGGATATAATCCCCTACCCCACATTAAAAATGTTTGAATCTTTACTATTCAGTGTAATAAAAAAAGGATTGTTGACTATCCCAACATGTGGGGTTATTTGAAGGAGATTTACCAGATGAAGGGCATATCTGATACAGTTGATCAAGATCATATTCAGCAGCATTACCAGGTATGAATACTATATTCATATGTATATATATGTATGTATATATGTATATTTTTATTACAATTTTCGCCTGTAAGTGGGAACGACGAGTTCCTGTTGGACGATTGAAATTAAATAAATTAAATAAATATACAGTTGAATTTGCTAAACTCAAAAAAGTCATTTTTTTACATAAAATTTACAGTTGTGTTTTCCACTAAGTAACGATCTGTAAGTCAATATTTCAATGCCATTTTGGATTAATGAATGCAAATGAGATATTGTGGACTTCAACCTGGAAGGAGCATTTTGCATGAAAATCATGCAAATGTTTGAATGGGCTATTATATACGTAATGATCTATTGTTCCCAAACTCAAGCCCGTAGCCAGGGGGGTTCATTGGGTTCGAACGAACCCCCTTTTCATAAGTGCCCTTTCAACAACGGCTGGCTAGACTACACCTTGGGCCTACCCTAGAGCCTATCATCATTTAATAAAAGTCCTACTTTAATACCCGTTTGTTAGGCATACCTAGTAACTTAAAATAATTAAAAATTGTGCATTTTCAACTGTTACATTATTATTCAATCAGTACGACCATGTAGGCCTACCCGTCCCGCTACGATTGTCGGCCACCGGCAAGCTAGAGAGGCCTTCAAAATACTGTAATGTAACACAAAGGATCCCCATCCACCCTACCCCCTGCAATGTGCTACTGCTTTGCCGACTCTCCACGCATACTCTGTGAACGCGTCCTATTATTTTTATCAAGATCAGATCATCCAACAACGGCACAAGCGCATGTTTCATCAGGCTTTATTTATTCAGATTTATCAAGATTTTTACTCAGTACATTGACCTAGTACAATACAGTATTAAATTGTGTCCCTGGCACAGGACTATAGAGTACAATATATGTATGGCCTCTCAAATCAATTAACACCTGTAAATGTCTAGAATGCCCCACTGGGGCTTTGCCCTGGACCACACCGGGGGTCCTTGGCAGACCCCCTGGCCCCAGCCAATGGTGCTCGCAAGTGCCCTTTAAGTATTAAAAAGAACCCCCCTATCAAAATCCTGGCTACAGGCTTGAAACTGTTTATATAAACAGTACAGAAATATTTATAATGCTCCAATTACTTCACAGGTAAGCCATCGACACTTGAACCCAAATGGAATTGTTGCAATTGGACCGGACCTGGACTTCAATGCTCCGCATGGCAGAGAAAATTTGGTTGCAAATTAGATGAACTAATACCAAAGAATTCGTCCTGGACTGAAATCCCTAGTAAATACTGTAAAGATTTAATTTCACTATGAATTCTTCAGATTTCAACAAATTCTTCAACAATCACAGAATCTGGTAGTGTATGCCTTGCATCACACAGCCTATGTCTATTGGAATGATCAACCAAGATGCAATTTTCTGACTGCCAGAAAGATAGAATGAACTAAAAAGCAAACACAGGCATTCTCTATGCAGTATTTAAAAAAGGTTTAGTGCGAATTCTCAAGAGTCTGGTTTTCAAATGTATGATTTTTATGTACTGTACTGTACAATATGTACGGGATATTTGGTGTACGGGTCTATATTTAAACCTACTTTTAGCATATTTATTTGAATAGCGTATGTAGTAGAAACAGTATTAGAATGAATTATACAGTATTTGACCAAAATATTTCCTATCAAACCAATAAAATAACCTTGGATTAAATACAGTACAGTACATGCATATAATACCCTATTACCCCGGGCCCGCCAAAGATTTTGATTTGGCCCGCGCAATGTTGCTAAAAATTTTCTGTTTATAGAAACAACACCTAGAATTATTGCCTTAACACCAACCACTGCAGGTGAGTGGATATTTTTGTGGTAGAAAATGTCTAGTGGCAGGGTAGGAGATCCTGGAGTGCAATTCTAAAATAAAATGGAGAAAAGGAAATTACATTTAAATTTTAAGTCTGAGAGTGCCATTTCCGACAATCTAGAGGCGCCATAATTATAAATTTACTTTTTTTCTTATCTCAGCCCCAACCATGGTGGGGCTGAGGTGATGATTTTTTCATACAGTATGTGAAAGTTCATTTCTGGCCCCTTGTATTTCAAATTCACTGCTATAAAAGAAAATGGGTGGGCTGACAAAAAATGGAAGTACACATTACTTTAGAAAACTAAAATCACCTTCCCGTAGATTGCATTCCCTTTTACCATCAGTTCACCTTAAAACTACAATTTTAGAAACAATCGTGAATTTGTTCTTCCTAAAGTGAACACGGAACGTTTTAGTACTATACAGGAGTTTTTCAAAGATGCTAGCCCTGAAAAGTATTGTATTGTTAAACTTCAATCATCAGTTATACAGTATTGTCATGATTGCAATAAAGTGGATTTTGAGATTTTATGCTGGTCTCAAGAGATTGGAACTGGCCCCCACCTCCAGCTTAATAAGGTTGAATACCTGGGCCCTAAAGAGATAACACTGTTCCAACGGTTGCTGGTGGTAATATAAAAATAATTGCATACCAACAAGAGCACTCGCACCAAATGGTTGTAGGGCTCTGGTGGCTAAACCTATGTTGAAGACCCTCAGCCAATCAGTGCCTGTGGAATTTGTTGTGATAGTTTGCAATCGGATTCTGTGGCAATCAGGAGAACTGAAATAAAGGTTGTAGCACGTAATTGCAAAGGGTACTAATTGCGATATCAATTTTCGACCAATATTGGTAAATTGCTACAACTAACGGTTGCGATGTTGCTGGTGGTAATCTGAATAGGGTTATTAGTGTGTACTGGACAAGGCGTTTGCATGTTATATACTGTAGTACTGTATACTTTTTTGTAACGAATAAAGAATAAATTACTGTACAGTAATTTAATTTTCATTTTGCCCTGGAAAGCTTGTTTCCATACAGTCATTACACGCCATCGCCGACAGCTTTTGGTGATGCTGATTAGTTGGTCGAATCAGGGAGCCTTTCCCAATTGCTGCGCAGTATACGATTGCACTGGAAACGCTGTTCAAAAAGCAATCTCCCATATCTGACAGCAGATATTGATGTTCCGACTGGACCCTTGAGCTAAGTTTAAAATTGAACACAGAGTAATTAGGATAACTTGCATAATCCAAATTTCCTGGTTAAAAAAGAATGGCGACAAAATATTGAGATCCATCCACCACAAATGCAAACACAGACTAGTTGCATTTATTATTACAGTAATTTCCTATTACACATTAAATATAAGCATTGGATATGAAACCAATGGATTATTTAAACAACAAAACAAATGAACATACTCTAAATACTTTATAATCGTTTTTTAATGTCTCCTCTTCCACATTGATTGCAGTAACTTGCAAATGAGAAACTGATTTTATTTTACACTGTACAAGGTATTTATACTGTACATGCGCGCACTCTGGAATTATATACACGCCCACATAGTTGCCTTCATGGTATGAATTCTCATGTTATTTAACACAGCCACGGCCCATGTTTTAGTACTTTTCGGCGCAATATATACGCATTAATGGCAGAATGACCAATACTCGCGTTCCTAGGGAATTATATACACGCGCATCTTGCAAATAGATCTCATCTTGTATAATATACACATGCATTGATTTTGTTTTCATTAATTAGTAAAAGTTACGGACACTGGAAGTATTAAAGGTTTTTGCAAGCACTTCAGATGTCTTATATTGCATCGTGTTTCTTGCAGCAATAAATTTGTGACTGGACTGGAAGATGCCCAACGACTGATGACATTTAAAATATGTACAGTACTGTATAAATTTTTTTTAGGCATTTACAATATTTTTTTGATTTGTTACCTATACTACGAAACTACATCGTTCATTGGACTAAATATATTTCTGCTTGGTTGTTTATACTTACCTATCTCTACAAAAATCAAGAAAATTGGGTTACTTTTCTCAAACATTTACAAAAAGATCTTTTCAAGAAACATCAATTAACAATAAATCTTGATTACATTTTTGTTTATCAACATCAAAACACTTGGTATCTTTAAAAGGAAACAAGATTCCTGTCATACAGTACGTTTAATAAAGAACAGATTTTTTCAACACAGAATTTGCTTTATAAGATATGTTTATGTTTGAGACGTGCTACAGACAGACAAACTTTCGAAGATGTAAACTTGTATAAGGGTCAATAGGCAGGAGGTGACCTATAAGTTAAAGCCACCAGCTGGGATGGATTGAGCTACATTCAGCTGGAATGTTCCTTGCTCGTTGGTTTGTGGCATTATTTCGACAACTTCTTCGTCCTAAAAAAAATGAAATAATGATTTAGTAAACAAATGAAATGATTCAATTTAAAATCAAGTTCTACTGTGAACTTTGACATCCAGATTTACTGAACTGTATTGCGGCACAAGAGATTTCCTGAAGAGAAGTCATGGGTTCCCGATAAGAGGTATAGATCACAAAATGACTGGAGACAACACCCAAGTCAGTCACGCCATCTATTAAGTATATTTTAATAGACACATCTAGAATGTCTAAATGGCGCTCATACTCTAAAAATGCTTAGCAGTACACTAATAAAATAATTGGTTTCTTACATGACAAGTGTCATGATGGGGTCCTGTTTCCTCTGGGTTTCTGCTGGTGCTGTCATTAGTATAATGTTTTGTGCACTAGTAATGTATCCAGATTCTGAATCCTGGATGGGATATTTTCCTGATAAAGTGTACTGTATGTATGTTACTTTCTTACCTCCAGTGGGAAGTGCTTATCAATTATATGAAGAGCCTTCTCATAAATACTCTCATTGGAATGCGTCTGCAGCGTTTCAATCTTATCGAGTCCCCCGATCTCCTCAATCATTGAACATATTTTGCTTTTCTGGTCCAGTTGACCGGCAGCCTGTAAATAATAGCTAATACATTCAGATATAATACTAGTACAGTATTACCAGCACATATCAGATTCTAAAAATCAATCAGTTCCTAAAACAAATTTTGAAAACAGCTTTTTTTTAAATTATAGACCATATTTATAGAGGGTGACCCTTCTTTATAAGGTTTAGGGAGTGGAGTTGTTTTTAGTCATAAAAAAAAAATTTAAAAAAATAGAAAAGTCCTGCTGTTACAGGAATTGAACCCAGGACCCTGGGATTAGAAGGCAAGCATCTTAACCACCAAGCTATTCTAAAAAATAAATGGTTTTTATACATACAGCAAGAATGTTGTTGAGGGCATCCAGGGCGATCATGACAATCTTAGCTTCCTTGACTACCAGCATATCACACAATGGACCAACAACACCTGCATGGACTAGCTTCACGATCTGTTGAACATTTGCTCCCGTGGTGAAGTTGGAAACGGCCCAGCAAGCTTCCTTCTGGCATTTGTATTCGCCCTAAAACAATTTTGACAATTTTTGTTAGTGGCTCGTTCAAAAATTGCTTGTCCCCACAACCTCATTACTAAGGTGGGACTTCTTTTATACCAATTTTAAGGATTGTCAGAGAAATTTGGAAAAAAAAGAAAAATAACATTTTGTTTTCTTATTTAGCAAATGGTTTTGCCAAAAACATCCATGCAGAGAAAATACAATTATATTGTTGAATGTAGACAGTGAGGGGCGGTTTTTTTGGGGGGCCCATTTTGGAAGGTAAAAGGAAGAAAAAGCAAAAAAGAAAGAAAGACAAAATTGATCGCCCAAACGCCTCAGATGTTACTTTCAGGCGTCTAGAACACAAAAATTCCCCCTAGGTAATACTATCTCGATCGGCCCCCAGTTTCCGCCCTCACCTTTTGGACATCTCTGGATCCGCTCCTGACAGTGTAGTTATCAAGGGATGATAGAATGCTTTAAATTTATATAATTAGTAATAAATATATATATTTTATTTTTGGAGATTTCAAGGCAGTGGCAAGCATAATAAAAATAGTAAAAAAAAATTTTTTTTCTGAAATTACAATTATTTCATAGCAACAAGTGCGCTTATTGATATTTTTTTTTTCAAAATTATCATTATTGGTAGGCTGCAGATTCGCTAAACAAGGTATAAAAAAGTCTCGCCAATATTTTAGAATTGAGGTAGTAATTACCGAGTTGAGAACAGCTACCAAGGGCTTTAGTAACTTGGACTCGCACACAGCCTCAATCTGGTTCACGTTGCCAGCAGTGATGTTACTAAGGGTCCAGCAAGCTTCTTTGCACAGGTTGGTACGTTTGCTCTCCAACAGACCCCTGAATCCACCAAGAGCATTGGCATTGATGACAGCCTGTTAAAAATAGTTTGAATAGTCAATATATAGTAATGCATTTCATAAATAGATAATTGCTGAGGCAAACAATTCTCAACCTCACACTTCTCTAGGTTTTCTTAAGACCTGTCCAGACTATCAAATTTAGTTTGACAAAAGCATGACATGCCTAAATATGGTCATGATGACATCACATCATGACCATATATAGGCACATCATGACTATATATGGGCATACAACAGTTTTTTTTATCACAGAAAATGGACAAAGCTTTAATATCATAGAGTAAAGCAAAACTATAATATAGTTGATACGTACCTGTGTCTGTTCATCGGTACCAGTTACTATGTTTCCAAGGGCTCGCAGTGATGGAGTCTGCAACGAGAAAAGTTTACATTTTATCTGTCCAACGTTTTGCCTTCATGTAATTTAATACAATATAAAGTGTCCATTATAAAATAATGAAAAGTATTTCAGTTATAATAATATAATAATAATAATAGTTTTATCTTGATTGAGTGCATCTTGCTAAAAAAAAGTCTCAATGGGTTAACATTAGATATAAAAATCCGGAATCAATTTGTCATTCAATTTCTTCTTGGCGCTAACACTCTCATTGTAGGTTGAGCTAAGGTACCATGGTGTAGATAAATTTCACCAAGTACTAGGGTAGTAGCTTCAGTATCAATATGAAACAAAAAATACTATTACTCACCATTACTGAAACTTCTCCACAGCTAAGGAGTTTGACAAGTATGGGTATCACACCAGAAGCAACAACTTGCTGTAATGAAAAATAAGACGCATTGTCAAATATTATCGCGCAAAGACAATTTTTATAACAATTTTTTCTCAATTTGATATTTGTACATAAAAAAAAAATGGGAATCTGTAAATTTGAGGATTTCTACTGTACCTGAATTCTATCGTTGGTTCCATCAGTTAGGTAGGACAGGGCCCAGCATGCATCAGCAAGGACTTCAGTGTCGCAGTGATGAATCAGTTCAACTAGGGTCGGGAGAACGGCGACTGCAACCTCAGGAGGTGGGGCTGGGTTTTTGTTTCGGCAAAGATTTGAAAACGTCCATGTGATGTTGCGAAGAAAAGCGGCAGGTGTTTCAGGGGTTATCAGTGCCTTTAGTGGTGGGATGATGCCGCTGCGGATCACGAAATCCCTCATATCAGGCCCATCACCTAAAGAAGAAAATGGATGCTACATCAAAATAATCAGTCTACTTAAGACTAATATAGGCAAGAAAAAGAAACTAGAGTTGCAACTTGGTGGTTAAGAAATATTTCCCTAAAATTATATGGTGGTGGGTTCAAATGTCAAATGAATTCAAATTTAAAGCAGGATATTTTTTCGTGCAATAACAGCAAGTTCATACAGGTTCCCCAGTAAATTTCATAATTGTTAGCCGATTTACATCATAGCCATATTCAAACTAATTTACTAAAGAATGCTTTATATATACACACAACCATTTATGGAAAGTGCATGATTATGTAAAGAAAATACATGTATGCAAAATGCAATATAAGTGCATCATCATACCTGCAATGTTACCCAGAGCCCAAACAGCTTGCTCACTGACGTTTTTGTGTGGGGAGGAGAGGAGTTTGATGAATTCAGGCACTGCTCCAGATCCGACAACTGTCCTCGTCTGATCTGATGTACCTGATGCAATATTTGTCAAAGCCCATGCAGCCTCAAACTGAATACTAGGTCTGAATTGAAAAAATAACATTTGAATTTTAATCATATCTACATTTTACTGAGCAAAAAGCTTACAAAAATACCGAAGTAAACTTTTTGCTTAACATGTACAGTATTTATAAAAGTAAAAAAAAATAAACTATAATTTTAACGATGTCTAGGCTTGCAGACACGAGTTAATTGGCAAATTTCCGTAAATGTGTAATGTTTAGTACCATGGAATAACATTGAATATATTATATTTCTTTTAGTGTATGTTTTCTTTCACTTATGAATGGAAGTCATCAGATGTTAAAATGTTGTACATTAGTCCCAATTTTACATAAACATCAAGAGCACATCCTGTTGGAAGAAGTGCAAAGTCTCCCTTGATGCAACATAATGTATGCGAGCACCACAATGACCGAGTCAGTCTGTCAAGTGAATAATGGTTTGTATACTTCAATTAAGAGAATTGCCCTCGCTGATTACATGCATCATCTGACTGGTAGACAGGACAAGCTAATGTTCAAGCTTCTACTTACTCATCACTGCGATCCAGCAAGTCTTTAAACTTTGGCACAATGCCAGCCTCAATGACTTCATTGATGGGTGGATGGAGTTCACGCGATAGTAGTTTGCGTGTAGCTTGTACAGCTAAGAACAGCTCCCTGGTGTTGCTAGCAGCCTTCAGCGCCTGTACAATTTCTGCTATAGACATTGGAGCTGTAGTCTAGAAATTAGTAAAAATATACTATATACAAAAATGTACCAACTGCAATGTGTTATAAATAAAAATATTTTAATATTTTAATTGCCTACTTTGCAGGGGTCGCAAGTTGGAAGAAGCCACTTCCAGAAGATCTAATTAAATGACCTTTCTTAACTCTATCTTATCTTGCCTATGGTTCTGGTGGTGAAACGGAAAAGGACTATAAACCATAGGCTTACAATTGGCTCATGTGCACTACACAGAAACCAGTCCATCTTACATGAACAGTAATGGGTTAACACTGGTCTATTGCCTTGTTGTGGACGGACGAGAGAAGCTCGTAGATGTTTACCAGGTTACTCGGACACGAAGAGGCCCTTAGGGGAGAAAAAAGTTACTTTACGAGCTAGTCCATGCTTCCAGGCTCTGGTGTAATGCACTATTAAAATCTAACTACATAATTCATAAATCAGTATGGTAAAAGCACAAAAAAATTAACAAAAATTTGTTTTACAATGTACAGTACCTGCTTTTGTTCTTGAAGTGGACTAGGGGGTTCGTCATCAACATTCACATTTCTCCTCTTAAGAAGTTGATCATTTTTGCGAGATTTTCTGAGCTCTACAGAAACATCTGCTCTTCTTCTTCTCATCTCCTGCAATGAGAAATGCACAATTCAACATTTTATGATTCACTTTATTACATTTTCTAAAGAAATCCTAACAAATACAGAAATAGAAATGAACTGCAAACAATACAGCCACCTAAATAAAATATGTTACTACAATACTGTAATTGCTTCAAAAGGAAATTTCATTACAGATTTCAATAGTTTTATTTAGTGTAAACTATAACTTTTTTGAGACTAAACTTATTAAATGACTGAATAATTAATGCAAACACTGGCAAGTTTGCAGTTCATAAATTTACAACACTTTCACACATACCTTAATGTATTAATTATCAAATTATAACCATACCTGATTGTCACGCCCTTTGTTCTTGAAGGACTTCATTCTGTTTTCCTGGCCAGACATGATTGGTTTTTAGGTATCGTTTTAACTAAGATTAAAAACACCGACTAGTGGATTGTGGAAATTGATTCAGCTTAAGACTTGTTTGGGCCTAAATGTTCTAAAAAAGATAAAAGTAAAATATTAATTTTCTTGAATCATGTACTAATGCAATTTTGGAATTCATGCAAATGCCATTTTAAATTGTAAAGAACGATTTCAAGTTACGTTAGATTAGTGTTATTTACCCAGTTCAGCCAAGAATGTTTTTGTCAATAAAGGCCTTTTGTCGTGAGGTAAATCTTAACGAAAGTGCTGCATATAAACAGCAATATTTTTGATGTAAATAAAATAAATACTGTATGGGTTTAAAAAGTTAACAAAATGATACTTCTGATAAAATGATTAATTCTGGTAATAATTTTGTCATATATCTATATTTATATAAAGTTTTTATTTATTTATATTGTATTTATTTATTTAAAGTATTATAGTTTGCGAAATTTTATACACCATTAAATAAAGCCCGTCACAAATTGCGCCAACATTTTGTCAGACAATGCAATTACACTAAGAATGCGACAAGGCTTGCAAGCACAAGAAGACTTTTTTTTCATGACTTATTTTTTTTATTTATTTATTTCTTTAAATTTATTTATATTTTTACTTTTTTCCCCAAATTTCAATTACGAAATTGTGGGTCAAAGGTCATTTGAAAAATTTATAAACTTTCGGGTCGTGTATTATTAAAGCTACATGACCAATGTAATTTGCAGTTAAATTTACAATCAAAATGTAAACTATATTTTAGCATTTACAAAAATTAACAGAAATATATGGCAAAAGTGACAGAAATATTATTGTTAACAATGATATGCAACTTGCTATATACACACGCCCAGAAACTTTAAATGTTTATAAAATTAAAACCGTAACCAGTGTGGCTCAATCAATTTTCCTCGAATAAAGTTTTTTATGATACTGAGAATGAGTAGTTTTTTGTGCTTTTTTTTAAATATTCAACTTTGTATTTATCATGTGGTGCCTAGCCTAGGCTAGCCTTTAGGTAGGCCTATATCCAAGCACATTGGAATATTAACCAACAAAGCGTTTAAATTAAATAGCATAGGCCTAGCCTATCTATGATTAGGATAAAATAGGCCTAAGTATCGAAGGGGTAGTCTATCGACTTTTTTAAACGTGGATCAATTGGATATTCGTCGTACTGTACATTAATGGACCATGTCATGGTCTGGGCATTTCATGATCATGTGTGGTTGGCCTGCAAATTCGTATGAAAATCATTCCAAATTTTGAAATCTAGGCCTAGGACCTGTCTAGCACAAGCATCAAAGAATCCAATATCATTACATAACACAAGAATGTCTAAACTAATGTGATCATACAATAAAAACATACAATTAATATGAATACATGAAATGATAAAGAAACAAAAATAACCAACCTCTCTCATTCAATAGCAGCAGAGAATTAAAGATTTGAATTTTGTGCAAGATTTAAAGGTCCGAAATAGCTTCCTCTGATTGGCTGCCAGTCTATAGTCAAATCCAATTATGAAAGTGCGCTCTCTATTGACGACTCCATTGAATTTTAGAGATAAATCTCCCTTTCAGACTCCAGAGGAAAACAATCATCTTGATATGTTGAGAACTGATTTTTGTAAGACAGAAAAAAAGTTGTTTGACGAAAAACTGAGGAATGGTGAACGAGATACAGATTTTTGAATATTTAAAAACTAGGGGAAAGGGGCGTAACCGCCCATTTTTACACCTTTTTCCTCCAGTTTTTATATATTCAAAAATCTGTATCTTATTTCACCGTTGCTCAGTTTTTGATCAAATTACTTTTTTCTGTCCTAGAAAAATCAGTTCTACAACATATCAAAACATTTTTTTCCTCAGAGCCTGACTTTAATGGAGACCCCTCCGAGTCCAATCGGACCTATTCTGTACTGGGCCATGTCTTTTATCTTTATTATTCTAATTACAGACCAAAGCTGCAAATACCATGAAACCCCGGTCCTAAAGAGGTCTTTATTTGGAGAGTGACCCTTAGGCCCCCAATCTAATTAGTTCAATTCAATACAATTCAATGCAACATATTTACTTCTTTTTCGCAAAAAGTACCGGTATAACAAAAAAATGATATTTTTTATAATAAAATAGCAAGATATGCCAAAAAAAATAAATAAAAGGAAGACGGGCAAAGAGACGCGAGAAGATGAAAAAACAAATCCTGTGTGTGTTGGGGTAGCCTGAAATATAATAAGAAACAAGAAGAAAAAACAGGGACAGAACGGAATATCCCCACTAACATCCCCCAGCTACTGTAAATGGATCCAGGAAGGTTTACTACCTCCCTGATTGGAATTTACTGTTTCGTCCACCAACATTGTCATTTTAATATAAGGCCTACACAATTTTGTAAGGATATGCCGGGATTTCACTAATTTAACTAATTTAATTAAAAATAAAAGTTTTATTTCCTTTCTTAACGTTACAATCACAAAAAAAATATTAAGGGCGCTAATCTAATGCGGAGTTGTACTACTGTATAAGTATAAACACACATAAAATAATGAATCATAGGCCCTATTATCAACTTTGCACCTAATTAGAAGTGTCCATAAATTTCTAGGATACCCTCCACCCCCATTGCTATAATATTTCTTGCTGAAGATTTGTCTATATGCGCCGATGTGATGATACTGTGGATGAGAGGGCCTAATATATAGCGCAACAATGATCATAATCATAATGATAATTTATGACAATATTATTATAGTCACAAGTATGGGCGATGACTAAGGAAATTGACGATGATGATGATTATATAAATGAAAATGATAATAATAATAATAATAATGATAATAATAGGCATAGGCCTAATGATATTAATAATCATGACAACGACGAAAGGTATTTTCAGATTTTGTTTTTGGCAGGCAAATTTGCCTATCTTTAATTATGATTTTAACCATTATAACAAATTTTAAAACATTGTTCTTTATTGAAAAATAGATAAATACAATAATGATAATATTATGAATAAACCTGTGATAATAATATTAAACTGTATTTACAGTGCAGCGACCTAAGCACACCGGACAATATTCCAATAACTTTGTCCGGTGTCATGTGATAAGATTCTCCAAATCTGATTAGCTGTCATCTCTATTGACTAGACTTTTTTATTTTATAATGGATTGAAGAGTCGAGGTGGGATAAAAACAGGAAATTCTACAAATATTTAGAACTGTTAGGTCTAGTTATATTGACGTAAATTAAGATACAAGAGCAAGGCATTTCACAGTGATGATTTATCTAACTCTCTGCTCGAAATTCACCCCATGTTATACTAATTACTAGGGCAGCCTAGGCTAGGCTACTATTAGGCCTAAAACCTAAAATTCTCTTGTTGGCCCGGACAGTATTTCTTCGGCTTGGCCGTTAGCTTGCTGGCTTCGGGTCTGTGTTTTTGTTAGGCCTAGAGAGTGTGCTGTAGGGGGGGGGGGGGGGGGGGGGGGGGGGGGGGGGGAGTCATCTCCTGTAATGCGATTTATTGTATATACATTTATATATTATTATATTGTATATATACTGTAATGTATTTATATTTTTGCACTGTATAGGTTGTCTTGTAATTTTATCATCTGTGTATATTTTTGTGTAGGCCTATTTCTCGCTCTGGAAAGCAAATTTCATGTTCTTTGCTTGTATATGACAATAAATGGAGTCTTGAATTTTGTTTCCCACTGGAAATAAGTCTTCTTCTAGACTTTCGTGGGCTATCCTTGGTGTTTACACCGAATAAATCCAATCCAATTCAGACCTCTGTCAGACCCCCTGTTGACAAATTTCCACCTCAGACCATAGTTACCCATCCTTAGGACCATGGGTCCTCAGTTGACACAAAGGTTAAATCTCGAAAATATTAGAATAGAAACAATCAAATGCTGCTGCAAGACAATTTATTCTCTTTTTTCAGAGATGAGAAAAGATGTCCAAGTTTGGATAGTAAAATGGAAATGGAAGGAGAGGATTTAAAGAAAGTAAAACAAGATCGTCATTATGCCATGCTTAATGACATGCAGGATATGTCCAGAGACCTCCCGT